TCCCTCTGGGGACACTTCTGGGCCCCTGGTGGCCACCTCTGTCTCTCCAGAGCCAAAAGAGACCCCTCCCCCACCCCCAGGCCACAGGTAGCTCTACTCAGGCCCCCAAAACCACAGGCATGCCCAACATTCCCCAGATCTACTACCAAAGAATTTCTTCCCCCAAATCTTACTTGCACCTAAATAAGGATGGGTAGTGAAGGAAAGGTTTGTCCCTTCTTCTATCTCAAAGTGCAGTAATGTTCCACATCTCCACATTTTCCTGAGTAACCTATAAACATGTGTTGACTGACTGCATAAGGCAGGTGGACCTAGCAGAAACACCGGGCTAGGATTTGGCAGACTAGCCCTCTGAGTGCCAGTTCCATTATCAACTTCCTTATGACCTTTAGAAATTCACTGACATCTTGGAGCCTCGTCCATCTCAATTATAAAATGAGCCGAGGGGGTGAAATGCTCTCTAGGCATCCTCATATTGTGCATGTCACTGGGGGCTGACATGGGGGGAATTTGGGCCGATATTTGATAGCAGAATCATGCTTTCCCATCCCCAATTCCATCTGCCATTTTTGCCAGTCATTTTCAGGAATTAAAAGTGAACAGTAATTTAGAAACACCTTAGCTTTAATATCTATTCATCATTTTATAAATGTAATTCTTCCTATTTTGTGGGGGAGAAGGAGAATCCACTTTTTTCCCCTTGTATTCTCCTGCTATGATGCCAGGCTTGGGGGGGTGGTGCAGAGATCTAACACTGAATTGTCTCTATCCCTTAGTTGTGTGACCTTAGGCAAGACATTTCACTCAGTCTCTGTTTCTTTAGTCATGAAGTGGCAACAACAAACCTACCTCCAAAGGTTGTTGCAAAGATTAATAAAATAAAATGAGATGAAGTGGTTAAGCATCCATGCCATAGTGGTCTTGATAAAAAGTATTAAAAAAAAAAAAAAGAGATGCTTCCTGACTTCTCCATCTGTCTCCACAGAGCACATGCTCCTGCAGGACACTCTCAGATCAGCCAGAACCAGATGAAGAGGTACAGCGGAATAAATCCTGTGTTCGCATGGGAGGCAGCAAAGACCTTTCTTCTGCGAATACAAAGATGTTCTATAAACCATTATGGATGGTCTGGCCCCTCGACATGAATTCCAAAGTACAGACCACAGAATGCGCCGGGGGTCAGCGTTGAGTAGTTATTACCTAGACTCCATGTTGTGCCTCCTATGTTTATAGCCTAGTAAAGTGAGCCCAGGGCATTCCAGACTGCCTTGGCCCATCTAGGCCAGATGGACAGCCTGTGCGACCACCCCAGGATCCAGCCCCATGTTTATTTGTTCATTCAGTGCCTCCCTCCGCCAGTCTTTGGTCAGCTCACAAACCCATATTGATCGTCTACTAAATCACTTGTGGGTAAATTACTACGAATCTAGAGGTGAATAGGACTTGGTACCTGCCTTCAAGGGCTTGGGAGTGTAGTGGGAGAGACAGGTCAACAATGAGCTAAACTATACTGGAAGGCAAAATAAACGGCACACTAATCAAGGTCAGAGCAGAAAGACAGGAGCACTTCATGCTACCTGGGACAGGAAGCAGCCAAGAAATTTCTCTGAGGAGGGGCATCTGACTTGATCCTTCACCAATAGGTGGAGGAGTGAGGGCAGCCATTCTAGGCTGAGGAAGAGGTCTAAGGCACAGAGACCTAAAAGCATAAGTGGTACACAGCTCTGGGGACAGGCCGTGGGAAGGAAATACAGCTGTGGCTGGCAGAGAGGAGCGGATTTAGAATAAGGGCCATATTTGTTTTCCCCACTGCAACGCGGTATAGCATAAAGACATAGGCTCTGGAGTCACACAGCTCTGGGTGTGAACTTCACTGTGCCACCTGCTAGCTTTAGGACCTCAGCCAAGTCTCTTCATCTCTCTGAGCCTCGGTATCCTTATCTGTGTAATGATCGTCATGAAGCTTGCACGGATGAAGCATATAAAATTCTTAGCACAGTACACAGTATATCAATTGCTCCATAAGTTATATTAGTAGTTTCATTAAAAAAAAAGAGAGAGATCCCAGAAATAAAGATTAGATTACAACCACACTTTTTCTAAAGGCAGAAATCAGTCTAATGCTCTGGGTCTTCCGCAAAATTCATTTTAAATTGCTTGTTTGGGAGACAGCAGAGCAAAGTTGTTCATCGGCTTCGGAGTTTGACAGCCCTGAGGGGGCTGGAGTCCCAGTGTCTCCACTTCTAAATTGTGTGCCTTATATAAATTACTTAACTTCCCTGAAACTCAGGTTCCCTATCTGCAAAATGGGATAACGATGCCTAACAGGGCTGCTGAGAAGCTTAAATGAGCGAACAGAAGGAAAGTTCCTGGCACAGGGGAGGCAGGCAACCAAGAGAAGCTATTATTGTTTCAGCTGAAAACTTTATCTCCCTAACCTTCAGGCTTTTAAGATTTCTTTGTTGAAATTAGAAAATGTGGTGTCATTAGAGCCATGAATTAGAGCACACTCCCACACATGAGGACAAAGATAAGGGATGCTCTGTATCCAAATGGAGCCAGCTTAGCTTACCAAATCCTCCTCCCACCCTTGCCCAAAGAGATCCTCGCTTTGTTTGAAGGGTCCAATCCAGGCACCTTTACACAATCCATTTCCTTTCACTTTTTTTTTTTTTTTTTTTCAGAGCTCTAGCTCTTTGTCCTATTTGATCCCACCTCCACCAGTGGCAGATCACCTAAGTTGGCAGTGAAGCTAATTTAAACACAGAACAAGAATCTGCTGAGACCCAGGGTCAGATGTCATGGCATTGGGGAGCAGAAGCAGAAGTCTGAAGGAAACCCAAGAGCTACCACCAGCATCACCCCGATTGTGTGAGGGGAGCCTTCTCTCTACCTCCCATACCCCCCAGCCTCCACCACCCCTCCCACACTGTTCCATCCACAAGAGAAAGGCCACCGTCCTCAGATAAAAGTCCTCATCTCCAAATCTGAAGTGTTTACTTCAAGGAACCCTAGGTATCGGGTTTTTTTAAAAAAAGGAAGGCGGAAAAGAGCATCAGAAGTACCTTGGCAGGTTGAAAACGAACCCAAGAACAGTAGAAGGGCGTTAGATTGTTCATTTGCTTCCAAGCATCAGGAGGCCAGAACAAGCCCCGCAGGGGGCCTTTTAACCACAATTTACATCAGGAAAGTAAGACCTGCTCTCCAAGAACCAGAAGTCATAGAATGTAGAGAAGGTTTCCCAGCTACTGGTTTCACAGCCCATTCAAGCTGGCGGGCCTGCAGGACAGCCCTGCATGCCGTTTCCATGGAGTTGTTCCTTCTTTGGGGCCAGTGATGCCAAATCCAGCAAAGGAGAGGGCCCCTCAAGAGCTCACAGAAGGGCAACCTAGCAACCTGTCCTCAAGCCAGGAAATGAAAGAGCTGTATCAGCGGTTGAGAGCACAGGATCAGGGGTTAGGTCAAACTGTTTCATTCCTCACACTTCTTCCTGAAGTGCAAGTTGAAAGAGGAAGATGTTACCAAGAAAGATGGCAGGGGAATGATTGTTAAACCATTTCTGGGCCACAGACTTACTTGACAATCTCCAGAATGAAGGACTCAGAAAAATACAGAGTCCAAATTCTTGGTAAACGATTTGAGAAAGGACCCTAGGTAGGAACCTCTGCTCACTGGAGTTACGTGTCATGACAGATGTGATGCGGGCAGATACATTGGCAGCAGGCCATTTACTTATGACCCTCAGCATGATGTGGTGTTTCCAGCAGTGATTCATAAACTTCTCTACACCTCAGAATTAACTACAGCACTAGTTAAAAATGTAAATCACACTCCCCACCCCTAGTCCTAGTAAATCTGAATCCCCCAGAGGTGGAGCTCAGGAATCTGCCTTTCTAACAAGCTCTCCAACATGATTTTGAGGCAGCCAGTCTCGTACCCATACTTTGGTCAACAGCATGGGCTCTGTCTGGTGTCAGAGAGATCTGGTCCAAATTTTGGCTTCACCTTGTAATTTCAGGCAAGTCATCTCACCTCTGAGCCTTGTTTCCTTTGAGCTCATAAGCTGTAGAAATGTTTAACTTCTTTTTAAATAAACAGGCATCTTATTGTAGTATAAAAAAATGGTGTAAAATGAGAAAGAAAAGTGCCTTAGCTTCCTTTTCTGCACAATGTTCCTGCAAAAGTTGCCTACCGCTTTCCCTACTCCCTACTGCCTCCCCCAATCCCCCTCACTCAACACTACCATCAGGCCAAGACTGCTGGTGGGTTTGAGACCACCGACGGAGAAATACTCTGTAGGCAGCTCAGCTGGGCAAATAGTTAGCATTAGAACAACAGGCTTGGATGCAAAATCGGATGCTGAAACTTACTTGCTGTGTTTTGCTGGGCAAGACACCTAACCTGTTTCCCCATCTGTACAATGGAGATTAATAGTCCTTGCTCACTAATTCTATATAGTTCCAAATGGGCGCTCCCATCTCCACTTTGGCCTTTCTCTACTAACCCTCAATCTGAGACTAAAGCGGAGTGTTTACAAGTGGCGTCCTTTGAAATCGGGTATGTCGACTCGGGTGTGAGCTCTTCGCTCTTCCCTTCCTAACCACACTGCCTGAGTGCTGAAGTGCCCTCTCTGTTAAACCGGCACACCGCGGCTGAGAGGAATAAATGAGATGTCCGTGCAAGCGCATTCGCACGCAGAAAGTGCTCAGTAAATGCTTTCTCCCCTTCCCCTTATACAAACGTGAGGGGCTCTTATTGTTCACTTGATTTCTGTCCCACCTCGTGTTTAACGCATCCGGTCTCAAAGCGCGGAGGGAGGAGAGTCGAGATGGAAGAAGGGGTGAGGGAGAAAGAAAGCGAAGGGGAAGCAGCAAACTCACGGGTAAAATGCAAATCGGCCCGGTAGGTGCGTCCGAGCTGCACTTGACACGGCGCTGGCTTCCGCGCCCGTGTGCCGCAGCCCCCGCCGGCCGGCTCCCCCCTTTTGCTAGCAATGGCCTCGGGGCCGGAGGCTGAGAGGGGAGGCGGCCCCCGCGCCCCGTTGATTGGCCGCTCCGTCCCGCTCATCAAGCTCTTTTGTGTCAATGGGTAGAAGCTAACTGAAGCGGCGGCTGCTGGGAGGGCTCAGCCGGTGGTTGGGGGAGGCCGCAGCTGCGGTGGGAACCGTGCTGCCTCGACTTCGCTACCCCTGGCTGGGAGGCTGTGCGGTGCAGCTCCATCCAGCAGCTCCGGTTCGCTCGGTGGCGGAGGAGGCGTCATCCTTTTCCCCTACAGGGCCGCGGGGACTGGAAGGCGGTAGCCGCAGCTGTCCACACCGGAGCATCCGCTGCCCACCAGCCGGGCACAGGTAAAAAAAAAAAAAAAAAAAAAAAGAGGCGGGGGGGAGCGCGATTGTCCGGCGCGCAGAGAGGAAGAGGAAGCTCCACCAGTACTGGGCGGCTCCCCATTTGGGGAATCGAGAACTGAGAGGCGGGGGAAGGAGCACTCCCACGGCCCCGCTGCGCTGAGGGAGGAGGTGGGGTTTTGCTGGATACTGCCAAAGGCTCAGGATTTGCCAGAATTGAAAGGGGGGGGGGCGTTTTTGGTAGGGGTCGTAAGGGACAAGGAGGAGATAATCACAAGCTGTCTGCTTTGAATCCCCTTTGCATTTCCCCATCTCTTCCTGGGGAGGAATATGAGGGTGTGCGCGTCCAATTCTTATTCCCTTTCTCCGTGGCAGGCCATCAGAGCCAAATCCGAACTTGAATTCTGTCTGAGCAGCTGATTGCAGAGCTGGTAGGCCAACAATTTCCCAGGGGACATATAATGGAAGGGGTCACTTTGACTTGTATTCAGAAGGTGGGAGCGGGAATTTTCTGTCTGAAGATGGGAGATGGAATTTTCCCATCTGGCTACAGCGGAGGTGGGGGCGGGGAAAGGGAGCGGGATGAGGGATGAGGCTGCTTCTGACCCTTCCCTTCTCTGTCCTGCCCTACGCGACGACACAGTCTTGACGCCCTGAGGACTGGGATCTGCAAACCCCACTGGACGGAGGTCAAGACTGGGATCTGCAACCCCCCAGTGGACAGAGGTCGACCTACCCCGAAGGCGAGCTTTCTCATGGAGGGCACCTGTTGTAGAGGCTGGAAGTGAAATAAAGGCGTGCACTTGTTTCCGAGCTTATGTTTTATAATCCGAGAAATAAGGGGGGAAACTTTGAGAAGGGTGTGTGGTTGAGATCTGAAACGTGAGTTTAACGGATGTCTTTAAAATTTTTTTATTTGAGTATAGTTGACACACAATCACACGGATATCTTATTTATTATCATAAATCTGTGAGATTTAGACCATTGCACTCTATTTTGAGAGCCCAACAACAGCTCCACACACACTATTTCACCTAGAATTCAAAGCAGCAGTTGCCCTCCCTCCTGGAGGACTGGCCAGAGGGGATGGAAAAGTACCCTGCTAGCAGGAAGATACCCTTTAGCTCGAGAAAGTTGTAATTGCCAGTCTCCTGCAGGGTATTTTTAGGTCAGTGGGCAAATATAAAATGTACTGCGGGGTGTTCATTAAAGTGACGTGACTGCAGACCACTTCCCTGCAATCTACTACATTATTGACCTTTCCCCCCCCTTTTTCTTTACAGTCCCTATTGAGATACAAGGAAGGCAGAGCCTGGGAACATTGGGGATTCCTCCTACAGATTAGGCTTTTCTAAAAAGCCTGAGCATCTTGTTATATTCAGATAGACAACCGTCATCCGTCATGGCTAGCATCATTGCACGTGTGGGTAATAGCCGGCGGCAAAACACACCCTTGCCACCTTGGGCCCATTCAACTTTGAGGTCCTTGGGGAGGAGTCTTGGTCCTTTAAGGGTCCACATGGCAGAAAGAAATGTGAAGCTGTTCTCTGGGAGAGTGGTGCCAG